AGAAAGCTGAAGAAGCAAAATTAAAAGCAAGGTATCCTCATCTGGGACAAAAGCCTGGAGGTTCAGATTTCTTAAGGAAACGATTACAGAAGGGGGTAAGTTCTCATGTGTAATCTTCAAATGCTTAAACCCTGTGAACTCAGTGTGATTGCAGTTATGAAATGGGTGTCTGTTTATGTATAACTCTGTACCTTACCAGATATAGATATATAGGGAGATATATATAATTTTTCCAATATTTTATACTGGTTATTGTATAAATATGTATGGTAAGAATGAACAGCTCATCACTTTAAACTGTTTTAAGCATGTAGAAAGTACAGATAATAATAGAGCAGAACCCATGTACCCACCACCCAGATTTAGTATGTTAATATTTTGCCATATTTACTTCAGTTTTATCTTTGTAAGAAGGAAAATGTTGTAGATATAGTTGAAACCTACCAAATGTGTGTATATATATCTTTCCACCCTTATTTTTGAAAGCAGCGACTATCCAGAAGCTGGCATATATCCTTCTGCCCATATATTTTTTTTTTTTAACTTTTACCCGTTTTAAAGATGATTTCTGTGCAAAGACTAAAAATATTTTTTATTTGGATGAAATGGTCACTTATAAAAGCAGAGCTTATTATCTCCTTTACATTATATATTTTACAGAGTTACTCTAATACAATTTATGCATGGTAATTTTAATAGTTCATATTACTGAAAACATTTTTTCAAAATCTTACCAATTCTTTGTGAGGTGGAAACCATTATTGCTTAATAATGAGATCTGAGTTGAGATAATGCTACTTGTTCGTTCCTTAGGTTTTCTTTTCTAACCCCTTTGGAAAAAAATTAAAGGACTCCATCTTTGGTTAAAGTACATTTAAGTGATTTACCACACAGGGAACAGGGAAGGATGAAGAGAACTGTTTAATGAATCAGGTGCCAAATCATGTTTTTCCTTGAATAAATACCTTGAACATACTGGTATCTGCTGTTTGGTTAATAAACACATGTCCGTATGTACATGTATGTTTATATGTATAGGTATTGGCTATAGTTAATATATGGATTATTTTCTCAAATCAGATTGCAAAAGGATGTTTTTTCCAGCTTTATTGAGATACTATTGACATAACATTGTGTAAGTTTAAGGTGTACACTGATGATTTGATACGCATACATGTTGTGAAATGCTTACCAGTAAGGTTAGTTAACACATCCCTTACCTCACATAATTACCGTTTTGTTGTGATAGTGAAAACATTGAAGCTTTACTCTCATAGCAACTGTCAAGTATACAATTCAATATTGTTAACTTACTGTACATTAGATTCCTGGAACTTATTCATCTTACAATTGAAAGTTTATGCCTTCTGACCAGTATCTCCCTATTTCCCCCATCCCACAGCCCCTGGCAACCACATTCTGCCATTTCTATGAGTTTACTGTTTTTAGATTCTACATGTAAGTGAAATCATACACTCTTTTTCTTTATACCAAGAGAGTATGGTAACATGGCACCTGGCTGGCTCAGTCGGTAGAACATGTGACTCTTGATCTCCAGGTCATGAGTTCGAGCCCCATGTTGGGGGTAGAGGTTACTTTAAAAAAAATAAAGCTCACCTAATAAAAATTCTAACAGAATTAAAAATAAATAGATAAAAACTTATTTTTAAAAGTGGTAAAATACAGAATTTTTTTGTTTTATATGAAAGAATAATGTTCACAGCTTTGAAATACTAGGATGGCAGGTAGGAATTACACCAGGTATATAAAGACAAAACCTCTAAGGGGTACCTGAGTGGCTCATTCAGTTAAGCGGCTGCCTTCGGCTCAGGTCATGATTCTGGGGTCCTGGGATAGAGCCCCACGTCTGGCTCCCTGCTCAGCCGGGAGCCTGCTGCTTCTCCCTCTCTTCCCTGCTCGTGTGCTCTCTCACTATCTCTGTTGCTATCTCTCTCTCTTTTTCTCAAATAAATAAATAAAATCTTAAAAAAAAAATAAAAGCATTATTACAAAGATAATGTAATGTAGGGAGTAAATAGAAAAGCAGAATGAGAAACATGTTCATTACCAATAGAGCTATGTAGAATGTATTTATATCTAGTCTAATTTTGAAATGGTCCCATGGTGTGGTTTTAGTTATGAAATAAATTATGTAATCATCTCTATTAAATTATTAGTTGGATTTGATTATTAAGTGTTTAGGAAACTTTTTTCCTTTGCTAATCTCTAGCATAATTTATGCTTAACAAGCTTTCTTCCAACATTTGGGCTGTTGTCTTTGTAATTTTCCTCTAGCTTCACTATGGCTTTTTAAATTTCTTTAAGTCAGAATTTATAAACATTGTATCTTGGAGTTGGTACTGTAAATAGTTGGGAAAGAGAAAATGCTGCTTGAATCAAGAAATAATTATTTAGAATTTGAGAAGGGAACTCTTGGATGATTTTGCATTATACCAAAATGTCAGTGAATAAGCACTTTTATATTAGGGAAATGAAGTCTTACATTCAGCTATATCATTTCTTATTATTTTAAAAGGGTTTTGATTTATTTTTTAGATGTCTGGATCACAGGGAGGGTCTTGGGTTCTGGTCTTTAGGTTACCTTAGTATCTTTAAACAGTTTCTTCTTCATTTCGGAGGGTTGATTAGATAACTTATATTTAGTCCCTTTCTGTTTTACTGTACTCATTAATGTTATTACATCTGTTTTAGGCTTTTCACAGTGTAGCTTGTATATTGTAACACACAGACTGTTAAAGCTGGGAGGGATATCAAGAAGCAGTCTGGCCCATATTTTTTCATATTTGTGGGATTTGTGAAGCCCCAGAAAATCTGAGCATTCAGTTTTTGTTGTTTAAGATTTTATTTATTTATTTGAAAGAGAAAGCACGCGTGGGGGTGGGGGACAGAGGGAGAAGGATAAGCAGACTCTGCACTGAGCACAGAGCCTGATGCGGGGCTCCATCTCATGACCCTAGATCATGACCTGAGCCAAAATTCAGAGTCAGATGCCCAACCCACTGAGCCCCCCAGGCACCCCAAGGATTCAGTTTTAAGAAACATGGCCTTAAAAGTTAGTCACTTTAGATGATCACTTAGTGTCAATGCAATTATAAATACTGATGTAAGTGTGGCTCCTAAATTTGGGTGGGAGGAGGCTTTTATAAGTTGGTCACCCAGACGATCCAGAGTATGTTTTAAGTTTTAAAGATTATCACTTAAAATGCAAAATTTTTACATTGTTGAAGACAACTAATGTTGCCTTGTTAGGCTATGTCTATCCTATGGTGAGAGACGTCGATTTAGTTCACTCCTCTCTCTAGAGCAGTTATAATAATTGTTAAACACTGATTTTAGTTTTGTCTCTGGCCACATTAAATAAATTTAATTTCCTTTTCCCCATGCAGAGTAGCCTAACAAGTAAGTAAGAACCCCTTGTGATCAACTTTTGCTTACTGTAAAATAGGTATCATTAGCAACTAACTTTATTACTTTGGGGAAAATATTCCTAAATTTTGTACTGTGTGTTAAATTTCTCATTTTGTGCTTTTGACTCGGTGAAGAATTGGAAAGTCTGCTTTGTTCTCCCCTAGAAGCTACTAAATTTCGGAAGTAACTCTCTAATAGGATATTCAGGAGTTCTGAGATGTCTTTTCACTATACTCATTTTAAAACATACAGAAATAGGGACACCTAGGTGGCTCAGTCAGTTAAGCGTCTGCCTTTGGCTCCGGTCTTGATCCCAAGTCCCACATCGGGCTTCTTGCTCAGCAGGGGGAAGCCTGCTTCTCCCTCTGCCTGCAGCGCTCCCTGCTTGTGTGCATGCTCTCTCTCTCTCTCTGACAAATAAAATCTTAAAAACAAAACAAAAAAACCATGCAGAAATAAAGCTGCAGCAAGCCTTAAAAGGACCTGGTCCACGTTCCCTTGTTACTGCTCAGTGTGTTACATGTATAGTGACACATAAAAAGCAGTTTTCTAGCTTTAGGCCCTTTGGCTTTAGGCCTGATCTGGCTTATCAAAGAATAGTCCCTTGAGGGAGGCAGCCACTGAGACCTTTTCCCAGGCCACTCAACAATCTTAGATTAAGCTCTGAATTCTCATCTACTTTATTTACCGCACGAGATACCCCTGAAGTCTCAAAGAGAATTTTTTTTTTCTTCCTTCACCTTTTGTCCATGAGGCACTCATCTCATTTCTGGATTATTCTCTCTTTTCCTTTGAGCACTCGTAGCACCTCATGTACTAAAAACAGTATAATGGTTGGAGTATTTGACTGTTGTGCTTCTTTCTCTCTCTATCCAGGACTCTCACGTGCCTTAACAGGCACTCAGTAAAGGTAGGTTAAACACGATAGGTGGAAGTCAGAAACCAGGCAAATTTGTCTGTTTTTACTCTGAAACAGATAATTCATGTAGATTAGCTATATTAAGGTTGATCTTTAGCTCTCCTTAAAATTTCTATTTTAGCGATAAAAGGGTATCATTATTACCTTATTCATCCCTCCACCTTAAAAGAGTAATAGTTGTACTTAGGCAGTGTCTTAAGTGAAAAACAAACAAGACGTGTGGGATAGGGATGTGCATTTTAAGTGATAATTTCTAATGACTATATTTCTTCTGTTACCCTAGCATTTATATTTTAACCTTAATTTCGATTTTAGTGAACTGCTCTACTTCAAATAAATGATTTTAAATCCTTGCAGAAATGTTCATCCTAGATATCAGGAACTATAATAATACAAGGTTAATTGAAAGTGTGTGGCACATCCTAAATGCAAGTTGATGGATTGTTCTTATTTTCAAAATAATTTAAGCAAGACTTTTAGTCTGGTTTTTCTGTTAGTACATGAAAGCTTTGCTATTTCACCTATATTAATGTTGTTTAAATTTTTTTAGATTAACTTATTTTACCTACATGTTAATCAGTATGATTGCATATCAGAGTTTTAAATTCCAGTCTCAATTTTTTTTTTCTTGTAGCAAAAATATTTTGATTCTGGGGATTACAACATGGCTAAAGCCAAAATGAAGAACAAGCAGCTTCCTACTGCAGCTCCGGATAAGACAGAGGTCA